TAGCCTCTTGCAAGATATAACATCAATCGATGTGTTGAGTACCTTGCTGCAACAGTCTACAACAAAGGCCGAGTCATCCATCACTCGGTCCTTCGCATCAGATGCGTTACTTTCAGGACTCCCAAACCAGACCAGGTTGGCCTTCCTACGTTCTCTATCAAGCAATTCACGTGGGCTTTCATTAGCGACTTCAGATAAAGCAGTTGTCTTGTTCTTTACTTCCATTTCTTCTGTATTTTTCAACTGAGCCTTCACTTCAGTCAGCTCATTGCATAGCGAGCTCAGTTTATCACTCAGCGAGCGCACCATCTCACTCAAGGAGTTTACTACATCATTCAACAATTTCGACTCATTGCTGGCATACGAGTTCCTAGATGCAGAAGCGATGTTTGTTGCTGTCGTGCGCCCGAATCTGGAGTTTGGAAACGATGTGTGGTCACCGAGATTTGAAAAGGACAAAAATTTAAGAGAATGTTCAAAGACGTGCCACAAGGATAATTCCAGGCTTGAAGGGCAAGTCATATGAAGAAAGATTAAATATTATGAAGCTTCCAAGCCTCAGTTATCAACGTCTGCGTGGGGACCTCATTGAAGTATACAAGTATATTCATGGTTTATACAAGGTCCCCGAAGGATTACTAGAATTTGAAACAACTATAAACTAAAAAAACTGCGCTGCAACTTCTCAACGCGCCAACATTTCTTCTCGCTTCGAATCACCGACATGTGGAACAGCCTATGACATCGTTGGCGCTCCATGCAAGTATGAGCGCGTTCAAGAACAGATTAGATAAAGCTATGGAAAAAAACGAAAAATATATGTTCAGATTTTAAATGCCTACCACCATATGCATATCGAACCCGGTGGAAGTCGAGTAGCTATTTCAAACTATCGTCAGTCATGAAAAGATCCGGTCACATGACACGATTTTAGATCTTCTGTGAACAAGGCACGAAAAGGAAAAGAATCGGCGACAGGCCACATCAGGCCAGCAATTCATCTTATGTTATTATGTGCCCAAAGTGACGTCACAGTCGGAACAACAAACGACATCCGCAAGGAGCAGCTGCTCGTGGGCCAGGGCCTATAAGGTCAACCTTGTATTAGTTCAACCATGGGTGCGAAGCCATGGCGCAGCCATAAACAAACTGTGACCTACCTACCATTAAGTCGTAAATCAGTGACGGTACTGACGGAAATGTTTTAATCAAAACGTGGCAAAGGTTCAATATCAGACTGATCAGAGCATTTTGACATGATCAATCGATTCTTCACTGTAGCGTAGGTAGACAGGCACAAATGCATTTGTGATTGTGTCTGTCTACCTACCGCTACCGTCCTACGCTACAGTGAAAAATCGATTGATCATGTCAAAATGCTCTGATCAGTCTGATATTGAACCTTTGCTACTTTTTGATTAAAACATTTTCGTCAGGACCGTCACTGATTTAGGCTACGACTTTCTGGTAGCATTGGTAGGTCAAACCGTCAAAGATTGTTTAGGCTATGAAAGTTAATAGGTTATAGGCCTACCCGGCAAATAATCTGTCCCGGCTTAGCCGGCTAGGCGGCTACCCCTACGCATAGTGACAAACCAGAGATTTTTCAGAATCAGTTGATTTTTAATTTCCTCAAGATTTACACCAATTTCTTAAGTATGATAATGCTGGTATCCATAATCCATGATACTTTACTGGTCTACTCATAGGACTCAAAAATGAACTTGAGACAGAGTCTAAAAAACTCTCTGCTTTGCCACTATGCCCCTACGTGGATAGTATGCAGTGCTACTGCCTAACTGCTACCTATGCACCAATGAGGCAATGACCAATGGGGAGAAGATCAGAAGAAAGAAACTGAAAATGTGAAGATGAAGAGTTGAAGACTAGAATTAAATAATCATTGCCAAGTCCAGGTGATACAAAGTGGTCCACCTCCACTCAGGCCACTGGTCAGCGCATGGCTGCATGACTTCTTCTTCACCTTCAAACTGGCAACAAATCAATGAAAGTTAATATATATTTTTTTTTTATTTGGTAAAAATTGATTTTTTTTGGGATGATAACTAAGCACTAAGGAACTATTAACTTCGAATTACCTTGTTCAATTTCAATGTATTTTCATGACAAGAATTGAGCAAGAGTCAAGAGAGTGTCAATAATTAAATTCATATAGTGGTAAACAGAGACTGAGTTTCAAATTATGAAGAATTCAATTTCTGAAATTCTGAGTTTCAAATTCTGAAGAACTGAGTTTCAAATTCTGAGTTTCAAATCTGGTATAGGCTAACTGGTTTAGAATTTTGTTCAATATCATTCATATCAATATCATATTTTGCATTTGGAATTTTGGATTGGGGCATGGTGACTCTGCAAAAAAAGACATTTCAGGCTGCAAAATTTGGGATGAGGCCTTTGCAATGGCCATCAGCGGTCAGCCACCATGAGGACTGAGCACTCTGAGGCGTGAGCTACGCATTGCATAGCCTATTTAAATTGTTAATAGGAAGGAAAAAGTGAGACCAAGTCAGATGGAAGCAAATAAGCAATATTAAAAAGCCATAAAAGGAGAGGCTAGAGAGGAGTGAAAGTTTGTGTGTTTATTTTAAGTTAGCCTATTTACAGTGTACAACCTCAAATTTATCCAATTCACCATCATTCCATGCAATGATGTAGGTAATAACGTCCATTCCATACATAATCCCAGGTACTACCAGTACCACACTTTTCCATACTTCTCTTATACCTTGCTCAGCAAAAAATATTTCACTTAACAAAAAATTAATGCATAATTGGTCATCACAAAATTGTGCATAGAATATCATGCCTAGATAAGATAGTAGAGTTGTGCACTGGCCCCTGGTCAACATAGATGAATATAATTAACCTAAACTATGATTTATTCGTCCAAAAAATATGATGGTTGTCACTAAAATATTCCTTTTTGTTTCATGTATGCTTTTTACAATATTTTTTGATATAGTAAATTCACCTGATCCAATAAATGGCGCAAAATTATAAGCCATCTTTACAAACTTACAGACACAGAAGAAATGCTATATGGCTGCTGCCACTATGAAGCTTGCAGTTGACAAGGTCATTGTCAATGCTCAATGACATGTCCATGGATATAGTAATATCACATCAATAATTCGGTAATGTATGGATATGGTAATATATCAATTAAGTAAAAACAAGTAAAAATCACAGAAAATGTGATTTTAAGAAAAAATGACTGACATAATAATAGGAGGATCTACATCATCTACAAAGGAAGAGGAGTATTTCAGAATACTGTTAGTAATGGATGAGTACACTCTGCATGCTTCAAATGTTTTAAAATTAAATTTTATTTCATGTGTCCATTATTGCCCCATTTCCAGAGGTAATTTGGGGGGCTTTTATTTTGTGTCTGGCACCTTACAAATAGCATATAGTCAAATGGGGTAAGACAGGACCGCAGCCTTCATGGGGTAAAAAAGGACCAGCCCATGGCATGCATTCTGATTGCACTGAATTTAATTTGACAAAAGAATATGTTAGAGCAATCATTGCCTGTCATTTCAGTGTTTGTTTCAGCCCTCTTCTGCAAATAATGAATTTTTGGTTAATTTTCAAAGAAAAACTATGTAAAGAAGGCTCACAAAATAGTTAACCCAATTTGGGAAATAAGCTGTGTCTGATTACAAAAAATTTTTTGGCCAGGTTTGTGGATGTAGGCAAGTAACCTCAAGTAACAAGCAACTTTTGAGACATAGGTACTAGGCATTCCTACCTGCTATCATCACTGCCTGACAACAATTCTAAAATGGGGTAAAAAAGGACCGGACATGGGGTAAGACAGGACCACTAAATGATCCTGTTTTACCCCACAAATGGTCCTCTTTTACCCCATAGTTTATCAAAAATAGCTTTTAAATGAATATATTATTGTGCATAAGTATACATGGAGTAATTTGGTCAAAATTGTCATCTTTTGTTTAAAATAACCAATTTAACTTGTTAGCTTTTTTAATTAGATAAATTTAGCAAACTATTATGAATTGCATCATGGGGATGGAGAAAATAGGGATGTCTCTTCCCATTAGTGAGCTGCAGAACAATGTGCAAGAGTGGTTGGGGGAAAATCATTGTGTGAAACATAAAAAATAATCATCACAATTTTGTGAGAGGGCCTGGGATATGTTTGAAAAAGTGCACCACAAATGCAGTTAGCAAGAAAACACATGACGTCCGACTCTTAAGTTATTATCCATTGGTTTTATTACCAATTTGATAAATTTTCAGACAATGACACTAATGGAATATACATGTAGCATTTGGCAGTGCTCTACAATGAATCAAAGCCAACCTACTATTTCTATGCTTAATTAGTTTTCTCGTGGCAAAAACTCCAATGTGACTGTTATTAGAGTTGACTTCCTGCAGCACAAAACAGTAACAAGTGGTTGTTTAATCGAATCATGTGTTTCTAGATGGATAATATTGAATATCAGATTTATATTTTTACTAAAAACCTTTTAACATCAGAATTACTTGTTGGTCCTATCTTACCCCAGCCTGGTCCCATCTTACCCCAATGGGGTAAGATGGGACCAGCTCACTTTTTTTAATCTGTACATAAAACTGTGTTGTATGCAAAAAGTCTGAGTTGTAGCTTTGAAGCCCATTGCATAACCACACCTTGTGATAAGTTTAGGATTTTTTAGTTATTCATGGTATAGATGCTACATGCCTGTTAGTGATTTCGGTCCTGTCTTACCCCATCTGACTATATGGAATTTTTGGAAGTGCCATACAATAGCCCTTAGAACGACCTTTAAAATGAGCTCAAACTCGTTAATGCAATGTTTCATGGTAAGAAGTTATTAACAAAAAACTCTCCAAACCATCCCTTACTGACCCTTACAAGTTAAGACTCACCGCTCATAAAAATATTTAAAATAGTAGTATAGTAATTCAGTCTTTTTGCTTTATTTTTTTTTCTCCACTATTCTGGAGCTGCAAATTTCTTAGATTTTTGAGTAGGTGAGTTCTTCTGACTTCTTCACCATCATTGAGTTCAAACTTTTGACTTTTTTCAACAAAGACTTGAACTCAAAACATGTCTCAAACTACTTCTGGGTTTTTGAGCTGTACATTTACTTCTAGTGTTTTTATATTTATGATACAAATGTTTTTGCAGAGATGAGGTAGCACTGCAAGATGTCAGATATCCATCTTGGCTTGCCATACTGCTCAACCAGTGGATTGGTTGACCATTCAATCAGCCTTGCTCAAGACATTGGCAATCTTTATTTGAATAGCGAATTCAGCGATGTCGTCTTGGTGGTTGGGAGTCAAAGATTCTACGCCCATAGAGTGGTGCTTGCTGCTCGCAGCAACTACTTCAGGTAGTCTTTTGTAGTGTTTTATATTATCTGTTATGTGTATATAAAGGGATATCTATATATTTATATATATATGTATATATCTTTTATATATATATATTTGTCTAATTAGCATGGAAGAGATTTGAGTATCTCATAAATAAATGAGAATTTAAATAATACAACCTCTGTTGAATAATAATTTTTTTTGCTGTATTCCTCAAAAATTTGTGTGCCAAATACAAAATTCCCTAATTATCTCCTTCCGCTTTTCAAGGAACAATTACTTCACTCAGCAACAAAGTAGTTTAGTGTAATTTTAGGCTATTTTTTACCACAATAGTACCTTTCATTTTTTACTTATTTCAACATGTTAATATTTGTGTATCTATTATCTTTGAATATATCAAGAAGATAGGAATATTATTTGTGCATCTAAAAGGCTGGTAAATGGCCAGTTACCATCTTTAGATAAAAGACTTAGTTGATGTTCAACTAAATCCCATTGTGTAAATTGACCAGTAAACATTCACAATGTTTGAATAACTTGATGCTAAATCCTTCTGTTTCAGAGCCATGATGTACGGAGGGCTGCAAGAGTCTCATCAAACTGAAGTGGAGATAAAGGATGCTAACTTAATAGCTTTTAAGATCCTTCTCAAGTACATTTATCAAGGATATGTGGCACTCCACACTGAGAAGGTGATGACTTAGACTTATTATTTACAAATATTAAATTAAGTATTTAAAGTCATAATCTAAAAACTTAATAGCAAAGAAAACTCCACAAAAATTCATAGTATCTTTAAAGAAAACGTTTCGGAGTCCAGCTCCATCGTCAGTTCGAAAATTCTAGAACACAGAATCTGTGTTCTAGAATTTTCGAACTGACGATGGAGCTGGACTCCGAAACGTTTTCTTTAAAGATACTATGAATTTTTGTGGAGTTTTCTTTGCTATTAAGTTTTTAGTGAATTTGCGATTCAAGCAAACGAGTGATATTATTAAGTCATAATCTGCCTTAGGTTTTCCTTAATTACTAGAATGTTTTGCTTCTGTACATGTATTGGTGATTTAATAATGAGTTTTTGCATACCGGTACTGTATAAAAATATTATAAATATAAAAATCATTGTCTTGGCAAGTACCAGTAAATTGTTTTAGGTTTCAATGTTTGTTATATTCAATTATTAACCTTTTTAATTTGTTCTCCAATAATCTGAATAAAATTGTATAATGATGGTTCTATATGTATGAGTGGGAGCATTGCAAGGGATTCTTAATCTTAATTTCTATTATCCCAAGAATTGTTCATTCTTGTATGTTATTTTCTTTTAATTGAAGGTTATCATGGAATTTAACAAATTGAATTCATGTGATATGTTTCAGGAAGAAACTGTTCATGAGATCCTGGCTCTCTCACATCAATATGGTTATTTTCTTTTAGTTGAAGGTTATCGTGCAATTTGATAAAAATTCAATTCTTGTGATGTGTTTCAGGAAGAAACTGTACATGAGATCCTGTCTCTCTATCATGTTATTTTCTTTTTATTTAAGGTTATCATGGAATTTAACAAAAATTAAATTCTTGTGATGTGTTTCAGGAAGAAACTGTACATGAGATCCTGGCTCTCTCACATCAATATGGCTTTGAGGAGCTTGAAGCTGCAGTGTGTGACTACCTCAAGGAGACTCTTTGCATTAACAACTTCTGCGTCATCTACGACCTGTCTCTTCTCTACTGCCTCAATGGGCTCCGCACTGTCTGTCAGGACTTTCTGGACAAAAATGCTCAAATAATAGTGAATCACTCTTCCTTCAAGATGCTATCACCTGTAAGTAGTTATTAATTTTTTTTTAAATTTGAGGTGAATTCCTAGTCCAACAGAATTTGTTCAATTTAAATACAGGTTGAGTTTCTATAAAAGAGAGCAACAGGGATTTTTTGATCATGTATGTAAGTATGTTTCAACTTCCATCTTCTCCATCTTTCTTTTCACAGATGAATTTGTGTGATTTAGATAGAGGCTTTTATACAAAAAAATTATAAAATGAGCATTAGGGAACTTTTCATTATGTATGTTTCAACCTCCATCTTTCTCTTCACAGATGGCCCTGAAAAGTATTATATCGCGTGACAGTTTCTGTGCTCCAGAAGTTGATATTTTTTGTGGTGTTTGGGAGTGGGCCAAAGCCAACAATGTTGTTGACAAGGCTCTGCTGCAGGAGGTTATATCACTCATCCGCCTTCCGCTCTTGTCCCTCCTGGTCAGTCTTGCCTGATGTTCTTTAGGTTAATCCTGCTTGTTATTTTCCTTGACTCAAATTCAAGGAAAAATTTTGTGCCTAAGTTAGTCCTGTGTTCTTGTTTAGTTACTAAACTTCGGTTGCTTGAGATGTGGTTATATGAACTATAAATATTTCTATAGTTTTGCTTTACCTGAAGTGTTCTTGTTTATTCACTCAAGTTTAGTTGCTAGGAGTTTGGTTCTATAATATAGAACTGTCTCTAATAGTTTGCTTTGCTATAGGATCTACTGAATGTTGTACGGCCGTCGCAGCTTCTCTCTCCTGATGATATTCTTGATGCAATCAAAGCTAAAAACGAGTCCAGGGACATGGATTTGCAGTATCGGGGATATCTCGGTGAGTACTTGTCTTCATGAACAAAGTCTTCTAAGTTTTGAATTAATGCTATAGCTTCAAAACTTTATTGCTGTATCATGAACTCATTTTAGCGCATTTTCTCATCTTTGAAAAAGTATTCACTATTGTGCTCGCCATGTCCGTCCGTCCGTCTGTCCGTCCGTGACTTCACGTTTTCGTCGATGAGAAAATGTACTCTCTGTCACTCACTGCAGTGAGTACTGAGTTATATTTTTTTCATTAGGGTATCAAGCACTGTATGTAAATTCTTGCTTGAAGACTTTTCTTTGTCAAAGCACAGGATTTGAGTAAATGGACTTTTTGGCTCTTGATTTTGCTGCTGTCTTATAAATTGAATAAAGATTAAGGCAGAAATTTTCCTAGGTTTGAATGCCCCCAACTAACAATGATGAAAATATAGAAACAATATCTTGGGAGTTGCCCTCCAAGTCTGATTTGCTTGATAATATACAATTCATGCTCTTCAAATTATCATGCATTTAGATCTTTACATTAATAGCATTAATACCATTCGTTTTCTTCAAGTCTTCATTTTTACATCTCCCATCAAAATAAAAGACACTAGGTATTTGTTAGTGTTGGTTGTTTCCCACTTCCATCTTCATTCATGTTATTTCCTAAGAGTCCCAATCTTTTTCATATTCTGGTGAATTTTGTAAGTATTGCATCAAAATACCAATTAATCTTTTATTTTATTCTCTATTTTGATCTTTATTCATATTTTCCCTCAAATTTTCATTCTCTTCCTTAACTGTTAACAAATTTTGTTTTCTGTTGCAGACATTCTGATCTGTATTCATGTTTTTCGCTTTTTCCTCAAATTTTCAGTATCCTCATTAACTGTTAACAAAATTTGTTTTCAGTTGCAGACATTCTGATCTGTATTCATGTTTTCCCTTAAATTTTCTCTTCCTTAACTGTTAACAAATTTTGTTTTCAGTTGCAGACATTCTGATCTGTATTCACGTTTCCCTTGAATTTTCAATCATTAACTGTTAACAAAATTTGTTTTCAGTCGCAGAAGAGAACGTGGCGACTCCAGCGAAGGGCGCCGTCGTCCTGACGGGCGAGATGAAGAACAACCTGCTGGATGGCAACACCGTTAATTATGATATGGATAGAGGCTTCACACGTCACTCCATCGACGAGAGTCCCCAGCACATCCTGGTCAAGCTCGGCAAGCCTTGCATCATCAACCATCTGCGCCTCGTCCTTTGGGACAAAGACCCCAGGCACTCAAACATATATTGCTTTAGTGTACCTATGTTATTGTCCATTTTGCCTTCTATTGTTGTCCATTTTGCCCTATATTGTTGTGCACATTTGGAGGTTTGGAGCCCTCTATTGTTGTCCATCCATATTGTCTTCTATTGTTGTCCATTGTGCCCTTTATTGTTGTGCTTATTTCTCGTTAATATCCTGCATATTGATTCATTTTGTGTGCATTGTTGGTGCTGTTGTTATTCTGTAGTGAATGACAATGTAAGTCTGTATGTAGTCAGGTAAGTGCGTGGCCATGTGAATATATGACCTGTCATTAGCTAAGCAGGACATTAATTTTTCTCTAATAGTTGAAGCTATTGCAGAGAAATGCGTTCTAATTTTACCTAGATAAGAGCCGTTGATGAATGATACAGTATATTCCCGCTATTGTTACCCTTATTACAGTCACTGTATACAATATTCACCGATATTACAGTCACTGAATATAATACTGTTCCTACAGGTCCTACAGCTACTACATCGACGTGTCCATGGACCAGAAGGACTGGGTCAGAGTGGTGGACCATACGCTCTATCACTGCAGGTATAAACTGTCATTCCCAAACTATTTGCTATTTTTATTTATTTTTATTTGTTCACTTTTTTACGATTTTTGGATCATTTCTTTGTTCACGAAAATTTAAGAGTCGCACGTGTTTAGTCGTGTCACATACACGAGCCATGCTAGTGAAAGGTCGTGGCAGTACCTGTACTTGGCTCAAGTACATAGCAGGTTTTGCAATGAATGGTTGCGTTGCAGGTCGTGGCAGTACCTGTACTTCCCGGCTCGTGCGGTCCGCTACATCAAAGTTGTGGGCACCAACAACACCGTCAACAGGGTCTTCCACATCGTCGCCCTCGAGGCATACTACACCAAACTGCAGGTCGTCCTGCATCATGGCCTCATTGGTGAGACACCTAATATGCAAGTATACAGTCCCTGCACCCTAATTTGTGGGTACCCAGTCCCCGGGCTTGGCGCAGCTGGGTAGTGGTAACAAGGTAATGGAGGGGGTGATAGGTCAGTTTTTCCGGGCATTTGGTACCACTGGTAGTTCCACTACCATCACTGGCTCACTGACCCGCCAGAACCATTTGGTTGCATTACACAACACCCTGGACAAGCCAGGTACTCATTTATCAACCAGAGTTGGATGAATGGCGGAGTTGTCCATGAGCTGAGCTTCCCGGAAAAACTTGCGACTCGAACCAGGAGCTGGGTGCGAGAGACTGAGCCTCTCACCACTGCGGGTACCCAGTCCCCAGGCTTGCCGCAGCTTTGGTGCTCCTAGGATTAGTACCATCCACGTACCTCACCCATCAGTTCCTAGGCATGTTAGTACCCCATCAATGTACCCATAGTGCCCCCTTGTACCCACAGTGGCCCTTTGTACTCACAGTGCCCCCTTGTACCCACAGTGCCGCGCAGCAACGTGGCGCTTGTGTCACGCAGTAGCGTCGTGGTCGAGGGCGTAAGCAGGAGCCGTAATAATTTGCTCAATGGCGACGTGACGAACTACGACTGGGACAGCGGCTACACCTGCCACCAGCTAGGCAGCGGCTCCATCTGCGTCCAGCTGGGGCAACCCTACTGGCTCGGCTCCCTGAGGTACTTATAGTACACTACAAGACGTCCTTATGATCTATTGCAGAGCTAAGGCAGCCTCCTGGCTACCTTCCTAATCTCAATGATCTGTCTAGTTTGTTTAAAGTCTCCCGTGTGGTCGCTGGCTTACCTTCGACCAATTTCATTTTGCATCACTACATAAGACTTCATTATGTTTTGGCCATGGCATCACTTTGGCTCTCTTTTGGCTACTGTGTCACTCTGCTTATAACACTTAAGTCACTTTACATCAATCGTGCGTCACTCTTATGACACTCGTACGGCGCTTCTTCACTCTTACGTCACTCTACTTCACTCTACGTCACTCCACAGGCTACTGCTGTGGGACTGCGACGAGCGCTCCTACAGCTACTACATCCACAGCTCCGTGAACGGCAGAGACTGGGAGGTCGTCACGGACAAGACCCGCGAGTGCTGCCGCTCCTGGCAGATCATTCAGTTCACTCCCAGACCCGTGGTCTATTTCAAGATCGTGGGCGTGTTCAATACGGCTAACGAGGTACGTAGACCCAGACCTGTGGTCTACTTCAAGATCGTGGGCGTGTTCAATACGGCTAACGAGGTACGTAGACCCAGACCTGTGGTCTACTTCAAGATCGTGGACGTGTTCAATACGGCCAACGAGGTATGTAGACCTAGACTCCTGGTCTACTTCAAGATCGTGGGCGTGTTCAATACGGCCAACGAGGTACGTAGACCCAGACCTGTGGTCTACTTCAAGATTGTGGACGTGTTCAATACGGCCAACGAGGTACGTATGGTTAAAAAGACCCCGTCACTGTGAACGGCCTGTAGGATGCCTCTACCCCACTAACAATACGGTCTGTGCCGTACGCTGATGCATCAAGTGTCAGCTCGTGTTAATATTTCTCTGATATTATTGTGTCGTTTTGCTGAACCGTTTTTGCGGCTGTTTTATTGTGTTGTTATACTGACCAACTTTCCGCCGTAGGTTCTTTCATTTTTTTGTGTCGTACAGACCCGCCTTGTGCCGCAGGTGTTCCACTGCGTTCACTTTGAGTGCCCGGCGAGCACAATCGAGTGCCCCATCACGGAGACTTTACCCTCCTCTGCCACCATCACCTCCATCACCACAACCACCACCATCACCTCCCCCTCTCCTCCTACCCATGGCAATGCCCCGGATGCAGCTACCAGGGGCCGACGGTCCCGGTCACGTGGCAGCGCGCGTGCGTACGTCACTCACGTCGGGCCCGTCATGGAGAATCACCGTGGCCCGCCTGACGCCGTCAGCGACGACGACGGGGATCAGAAATATGAGTTTGACATGATGGCGGAGTCGAACCGCAGCCCGGAGCTGGATGCCCCACAGCAGCAGGCTGCTAACGCTGTGGCTGAGGCTGCAGGCGACGAAGCTGCGGCCGCAGCAGATGGTGCAGGTTTAGACGACCGCCTTGCTTTCTCGTCGGCCGCCAGTAACGGCTGCTCCGACCACAGCAGCAACGACCTCTTCTTCGGTTCAGCCAGCGACGTGGCGGCCAAGAACGGTTCGTTGGCGCCCTTTGAGGCCCAGGAGGTGGAGAGCGTCCAATCTTGCGCGAGCGCCTACAGCGGTGCTGACCAATTCTCCGCCGGCGAGGGTGGGTCCGCTGTGGATTACTCGACCCTTGGGGCCAGGCCCCGACGCTCGCTCAGAACCACCGACTACCCATACAGCCACAGCATGCCGCCCTACTACCAGCATTCCCGAGGCCCCCTTTCCTCGCTACATTTCTTCGCTCAGCAATGTCCTGCAGCCCTCTCAGGTGCCAGCTCCAACTGTCAGCTCCCTGGCAGCAGCTCCCGCTCCAACAGCACCGCCCACTCCTCCCCCACCCACTCAGAGTATTCTTTCACACGCTCCTCCAACTCCCCCACACGCTCCGAATACTCGAACTTGTCCTCGTTGCAGAACAACAGGTCTGGGGGGTCAGTCAAGCTGGTCAACCCAGTCCTGGACATGCGTCAGGGCTTAGGGTACTGCATGGGAGCTGGGGGACTGGGTGCAGGGGGCAGTGAAGGAGGTGCTGCCCCTTCCACCCTCGCCGAGGTGGAGGTCGGTTCTGCCATCACCTCTTCGTCGGGCAGCGCCGTTTACCCGCGACCGCCTTCACCGCTGCTGCTGGAGAGACACGATCACGTCGACGAGAAAGACGACTCTGAAAAAGATTGATCGTGCTGCAACTTGCTCTTCGCCTGCCCCAACGTGCTCTTCGCCTGCCCCGATGTTCTCTTCGCCTGCCCCGACAGGCTCCTCGTTATCAAAGGAGTGGATGTTCGCAGGACGATATGACTGCCTCAAATTATTATATGTCTCGATAAGTGTTTTTTAATAAATTCGTTTTCGAGCATGAAAGCATGAGCATGGAGTATGGTCCCTGTTACTGTAGGTTTGCGCGACGCGTGTGTGACCCGCTGCATGCGGTAAATGCCTCATACCCTACGATGTGTGTGATCAATTTATCCTCGTAGTTTGATGAAAATAAACTTACCGGCATTCCTTATCGACCAGCAGCTTATTTATTTATGTTCAACTGCCTGCATGTAGGATTTTTTTTTTGTCTGAAAATGTCATGGCTACGCGCGTCTTACAATTTTTTTTTATTCCAATGAAGTCTTGATAAATTTCGTTACATAATTGTTTCATAGGATCTCTTTGTTAGTGCGAGGCTGTTTGTGTGTAATTATTACCTTCGTTAGTGCGAGGCTATTTGTGTGTAATTATTACCTAGAAGTTCTGAAAAGCAGTTCTCACAATTCTCAAATGTTGTACATAACTCCTGCCATTATATCTTCATGGCCGGTCATTTTAATCTTGAATTATCCATGCTCGTAAATGTCATCCTAGTCCGTTCCCTGACGCGGTTAATTCTTAACAAATTATTTTGTGAATATAAACTAAAATAACGCTTTTGGACGTCCATTTTTTCCCCGAACTTCCCTTTATGTTCAGAGTTCTTTTTCCGATGAATAATTGATTGCATTGTTTCACGATCCTCTGAATACGAGATAAATAACAACTTCCTCAATTATTGATATATTGATCAATGATTGAATTATTATTGTTCATGCAAATAGTACAATTTTTACTTAGCTCTCTTAACTCATTTCAATGGAAACTATGTCTCCAAGATTCATGTAAAGCGTTGATAAATTCATAATCATGGTTTCATTGAAGGCCAAGATAATGGTGATTTAATTGAAGATCCAGATAATGTCGTTTGCATTGAAGACCAATGATGATGGGGTTTTAGTGAAGACCAAAAATAATTATGGTTTAATAGAAAACCGATGATAATGATGGTTCAATTGAAGACGACCTCAATATCTCAATAACTCGATCACCTGAAGAGGAGAATGACCATCATTGTCATCATATATCCTTTATTCATAACGAAACATTAGGTAACAATATAGATTAATATCTTTTCTTGAAACGATCTTAAGCGTATGTGTGACCCACAAATTACTATTATTTTAAAACAGTTAGAAATGAAGGAAGAGTTTACTTTAACACATTATTGCTCGGTTGATAATTAGAAATTAACGAAATTTATGCTCAATTAACAATTTGGGTTATGAAGAACTTATTCATGGATAATGAACATTTACGTATGCTTCAGTAAACGGCCATACACTTCCAAGAAAAATGAATGCGTCATGTTGTCCAAATACTGACACACCTGCGGCACGTAGCAACAATACGCCTTTTGCACTTGCAAACTGAATCAGGATGACCCAGTAAGTGCTAAAAGTGCATCGCTATTTGGACAAATTTCACTTATTTCTCTGAGTGCAGCGTCTATGGAAGTAGGTACAACTCTAGGGTCTGTTCCCACAACATTTTTCAACACACACAAAAAAAAAAGAAAATTTCGCCAGATCGCAACCTTAGAACTAACGCAAACAATGAATAAATGTGACATAAGCGGCCAAACAGTACAGATGAAAGTGTAATAAGCATACATAATGTCTCCTACATGCATACAGAATATATTCTTAGAACAAACGGGAAGAACGCGGTAAAAATTTTGAACCAGTTAAAAAACTGCCACTCAGTTGGAATATAAACTATACATAAAAATTATCTTATAATAAAAACATGTCATGCAATGAACTTGTAGAAGCACTGAGCTGTCGAAACGTGAACAATCTTCATAAAAAAAATGCGTCAATTAAAACTTAAGTTAGAAAGAAAAAGAAATTTCCGATAGTGAAGCTGCAAAATTTTTCTATTAACTACTTTTAGATTTCCCTTGAAGCAGTTAGACGTTAGTTTTAAAAGTTTCAAAAATTTATATTCCTCTTTTTTAGAGCGTCAGAGGAGAAAATTTTCGACCTTATCCAAATTTTAAAATATTATATCATAATTTATGATGGTTTGTTGAAGTGAAAAAATATTATACGTTCAATAACACGTTGAACGTTTTTTTAGGAATATTACACAAAACATAGTCGAATATTACCTTGAAATAAAGAACCCACATAGAACGTTCATCAAAAAAAGATTCGCTACTGTGAATGAAGCAAACTTAAAAATCCGTAAATTCGGGAGTCAAAGAAATTGGATTTCTATATAAATTTGAGCGTGTAAAGTATAATAAAACTTTTGCTTGAAAGTTAGTTATATCAGGCACCGATTTGTTAAAGAAAATATGAATTCAAGGCTTTAGAAATCTAAATTTAAACAATGAAAATAGTTACTGCACTCAAGCTCGTCTTATGGCTATCAATAAATTGTAAGGCACTTTTTCTTAAGCGTTTTTGGTAGGTTCTTGCACGCAATGAATTATTCATATGGTCTTGGCAAGTTATTTCAACGACTTGAACGAATGACTAGACGAGACTAACATCACCTTCAGGTCGTCAACGTACTACGTTATCTAAACAATAGCGGTCATATCGAGTAAGTGCCGAAGTTTATTTGACTTTTTTTCGGCTCTCTATGAGTAAGATTCTTCAGATTTTCTCCACAGTTTTAACAGTCGACTGAAAATTTTTGATTTCCAAACATACAGAAACCACGGTCAATTCAAGTCGGAAATAACACATTAAGACCAGGGTATATGGAACGCGGCCATATTCAATCTATTTAAAGTGGTGGGCAGTGAAAGAAATTGCGCGTTGTGGAAGAAACTATAAAAAATATAACTCAGTACTCACTGCAGCGAGTGACAGAGAGCGCATTTTCTCGTCGACGAAAACTTGAGGTCACGGACAGACGGACGGACGGACAGACAAACAGACAGACGGACATGACGAGCACAATAGTGTATTTTTTTCATATATTAGAAAATGCGCTAAAAACTGGCGAAAAATAACAGGTCAAATTGTAGACATAGCAACACACTTCCTGCATGTAGCCCTGAGGCGTCCTTTTGCCAGGCCAAAACGGGTCAGGAAAAACCATACACCAACTAAAGTGTATCACTCTTCGGACAACAGCCCCTTCATTTCTCCGAGTGCCCGTATTAACCAGCATGAAAATAATTATCCATGGGTAATTTACAGATGCACATATCATTTGCATCTAAAAATCTGATACTAGATTTACTTCTTATATCAAGCAGATATTTTGGAACTGATTATGTTAAGAGATTGTATCAATCTTGAATAAATGAACCACCATTTAAACAATTCCTTTTCCTTAATTCCTGAAAGAATCTTGTTGAGCAGTACAAGAAATGTCGGAAGGAACGTAGCAGTTTGCTACAAGTTCACGGGCTGCCCACGCACGTTTCGGCTCCGGAACTTCCAGATTTCCTGAAATAAAAAAAAATTAGACATTACCGCGGAATACTTCAATAGATAATTATAGTAAAGATAATATGAAAAAAATGTCAGAGAGTCATAGAACTGAGGGGATTTTGATCAGAGTTCTTCAAAGGCGAATGTATGAAGAATGAATGACAAATGATTGAATAAAGTTCAATAAGAAGTTAGAAGCGTGTAAAATGATATGAAATAATTTATATTGTTTTTTAATGTTTGAAGGTTTAATTTCAGTTAGTGTGGAGACAATCAAGTCTCAATCTGAAGTCAAGGCCCTCATCAAGTCTCACAAGGCCCTCATCAAGTCCCACCTTGAAGTCAAGGCCCTCATCAAGTCTCACAAGGCCCTCATCAAGTCCCACCTTGAAGTCAAGGCCCTCATCAAGTCTCACAAGGCCCTCATCAAGTCTCACAAGGCCCTCATCAAGTCCCACCTTGAAGTCAAGNAATTCCAGGGAATTAGTTCAAATTTCAGGGAATTAGTTCAAATTTCAGGGAATTAGTTCAAATTTCAGGGAATTAGTTCAAATTTCAGGGAATTAGTTCAAATTTCAGGGAATTAGTTCAAATTCACAGGCAGGATCTCATTCTTTATAATATTATGAATGTGCTCCGAAATTCCAGGGAATTAGTTCAACTTCAGATGTGTGATCTCATTCTCTAAAATACTACGAATGTGATGCAAAATGCCAGAGAATTGGTTCAAGTTCAGTAGCATTACACAATATACTAAATGTGATGCAAAATGCCACAGAATTAGTTCACGTTCAGTAGTACTAGCAGGGATCTAATTCTTTACAATATTATGAATAAGATGCAAAATGCCAGAGAATTGGTTCAAGTTCAGTAGCATTACACACTATACTGAATGTGATGCAAAAATGCCAGAGAATTAGTTCACGTTCAGTAGTAGCAGGGATCTCATTCTTTACAATATTATGAATGTGATGCAAAATTCCAGAGAATTGGTTCAAGTTCAGTAGCATTACACAATATACTGAATGTGATGCAAAATGCCATAAAATTAGTTCACATTCAGTAGTACTAGCAGGGATCTAATTCTGTATAATATTATGAATCTGGTTCAAAATGCCAGAGAATTAGTTCAAGTTCGGTAGCAAAGATCTCGTACTCGAAACGGTTACGGAAATATGGTAAAATTTTATCATAGAATTATTTCAACTTCACATGCGTGATCTTATTCTTGATAATATTACGAATGTAACGCAAAATGCCATAGAATTGGTTCAAGTTCAATAGTAGCAAGGATCTCATTCTCATGAGTGTAACGAAGGCGCTATTAGCGGTTCTGAATTTAACAATTAAATTGCATATTTTATTAACTAGTATTATTAGCCTACACCACAGTTACATCAGCCCCAAGTATACCTGTGTGGTGTTGGAGCCTGAACCATGGAGCAGAATGGGGTGGAAGAACACAGTATCACCCTTCTCCATGGGGAGGAAGGTGCGAGGGTGATCATCATAACCTCTCACGCCGTGATACATTTTGTTCACACCGTCCTGTGCGGGTAATTACATTCACAATAATTAATTACAATTATAAAATATGTAGCGTGAGGAGTAACAAAAAATATATTTAATTGTTTACAAGCCAGGTACTAATCTACCATTACACAACACTCTGGACAAGCCAGGTACTAATCTACCATTACACAACACCTGTACAAGCCAGGTACTCATCTACCATTACACAACACCTGAGCCCTCATCAAGTCTCACAAGGCCTTCATCAAATCTCACAAGGCCCTCATCAAGTCTCACAAGGCCCTCATCAAGTCTCACAAACCCCTCATCAAGTCCCACCTTGAAGTCGAGGCCCTCATCACGTCTCACAAAGCCCTCATCAAGTCTCCCAAGACCGTCATCAAGTCCCACCTTGAAGTCAAGACCCTCATCAAGTCCCACCTTGAAGTAATCTACCATTACACAACACCTGTACAAGCCAGGTTCTCATCTACCATTACACAACACCTGTACAAGCCAGGTACTCATCTACCATTACACAACACTCTGTACAAGCCAGGTGCTCGATCATTCATCAACGAGATTTTGGATGAATGGCTGAGTTAAACATTCCGAAATAACTCATCCTGAGTGAACAGGAACGCATTTTCTTTTACATATTCATGTCGTGATCTATACGATAGCGTTTTAGAAAAAGTATATTAATATTTTAATATAATTCCGTGTGCGAGTTTGCGAGTAGTGATTTTCATCACAGAAATAGACATGGGCGAATGTAACTAGAGGTCTCATCACCACAGATGTCTCAGGCAGAATATGAAGTATTATTTGATATCAGACTGCACGTCATGGACATGTCAAGATGTATGCCAATGCGAATAAACAATATGCAGCTTCGCGCTTTCGTTTTAAACTTTATTATCATTACAGTTAATAGGCCATGTGTGAGGCAAAAATAAGAAGGAACGTAAAGTTATTTCCTATCACGAAACCAGGAATATCGTTCGGCCAGTTTAGCGTACAAATCACCCCACTCCCCTAATGCCACTCTGCCACCACTTCACACCTGCAAGTCTGCCACCAACACCCCCCAGCTCCAGCCAGTCTGCCACCGTTCCACCTGCCACTACACCTGCCATCAAGTCAAGCAACACTTGCCACACTTGCCACACCTGCCGCAACACTCGCCACACCTGCCACAACACTTACCACACCTGCCATCAAGTCAAGCAACACTCGCCACACCTGCCGCAACACTTACCACACCTGCCATCAAGTCAAGCAACACTCGCCACACCTGCCGCAACACTTGCCACACCTGCCACACCACTTGCCACACCTGCCATCAAGTCAAGCAACACTTGCCACACCTGCCACAACACTTGCCACACCTGCCACTCAGGGTAGTCGTGCTGCAGCAGGCTCAGCGTATGAGTGCCGGGCACCACGAAGAGGCATCCGTTGCTCTCGTCCACGCGCTCCATCGCCGTCCACGCGCACACGATCCGCTCAGCTGGCCTGTACACGTGGTAACTATTGGTAATCGTGGTGGTAACGATCAAGTAATAGTGTGTCAAATGGTAACGACCGGCTTGGCCTGCGCGAGCGGTAACGATAGGTGGTCGTGGTAGTAATGCGCGGTAACGATTTGTAATCGTGGTAGTAACGCGTGGTAACGATTGGTAATCGTGGTAGTAACGCGCGGCAACCATTGGTAATCCTGGTGGTAACGCGTGGTAACGATTGATGGTCGTGGTAGTAACGCGTGGTAACGATTGGTAATCGTGGTAGTAACGCGTGGTAACGATTGGTAATCGTGGTAGTAACGCGTGGTAACGATTGGTAATCGTGGTAGTAACGCGTGGTAACGATTGGTAATCGTGGTAGTAACGCGTGGTAACGATTGGTAATCGTGGTAGTAACGCGTGGTAACGATTGGTAATCGTGGTAGTAACGCGTGGTAACGATTGGTAATCGTGGTAGTAACGCGTGGTAACGATTGGTAATCGTGGTAGTAACGCGTGGTAACGATTGGTAATCGTGGTAGTAACGCGTGGTAACGATTGGTAATCGTGGTAGTAACGCGTGGTAACGATTGGTAATCGTGGTAGTAACGCGTGGTAACGATTGGTAATCGTGGTAGTAACGCGTGGTAACGATTGGTAATCGTGGTAGTAACGCGTGGTAACGATTGGTAATCGTGGTAGTAACGCGTGGTAACGATTGGTAATCGTGGTAGTAACGCGTGGTAACGATTGGTAATCGTGGTAGTAACGCGTGGTAACGATTGGTAATCGTGGTAGTAACGCGTGGTAACGATTGGTAATCGTGGTAGTAACGCGTGGTAACGATTGGTAATCGTGGTAGTAACGCGTGGTAACGATTGGTAATCGTGGTAGTAACGCGTGGTAACGATTGGTAATCGTGGTAGTAACGCGTGGTAACGATTGGTAATCGTGGTAGTAACGCGTGGTAACGATTGGTAATCGTGGTAGTAACGCGTGGTAACGATTGGTAATCGTGGTAGTAACGCGTGGTAACGATTGGTAATCGTGGTAGTAACGCGTGGTAACGATTGGTAATCGTGGTAGTAACGCGTGGTAACGATTGGTAATCGTGGTAGTAACGCGTGGTAACGATTGGTAATCGTGGTAGTAACGCGTGGTAACGATTGGTAATCGTGGTAGTAACGCGTGGTAACGATTGGTAATCGTGGTAGTAACGCGTGGTAACGATTGGTAATCGTGGTAGTAACGCGTGGTAACGATTGGTAATCGTGGTAGTAACGCGTGGTAACGATTGGTAATCGTGGTAGTAACGCGTGGTAACGATTGGTAATCGTGGTAGTAACGNCCCACCTGAAGGGGAAGTAATGCCCACCTGAAGGGGAAGTAATGCCCACCTGAAGGGGAAGTAATGTAGGTCCTGGTGCATGGGGTGTCGGGATGTCAGAGTCCCCGCGTCGGGGGGCTTGTTGATGAGCATGGTATGCATAGCCATGATGTTACCCCCGGTGAAACATTCCACGTAATCCAAGATCTGTTACCGATTAATTACCATTAGCCATGTATAAATTAATCTAGATAAATTATAAATTAATCTGTAAAGCAATTTATAAATTAATCTATATAAATTATAAATTAATCTATAAAGCAATTTATAAATTAATCTATATAAATGATAAATTAATCTGTAAATCAATTTATAAATTAATCTATATAAATTATAAAGTAATCTATAAAGCAATTTATAAGTTAGTACCTCATGCCAAGTTAACGCGCCATATTAAATCTAATAATTAATCAACAAATATTTTCAAATTATTCAGTTATGTAGGCACACATTTATTGGAAATTTACCACGCATCAATGCCTATACTGTTAGGAATATATTATTTTTTCCAGTATTTTATCCATTCTTTTTAGCGCATTTTCTCTTTTATGGAAAAAATGCACTATTGTGCTCGCCATATCCGTCTGTCCGTCCGTCCGTCCGTACGTGACCTCAAGTTTTCGTCGACGAGAAAATGCGCTTTCTGTCACTCACTCCAGTGACTACTGAGTTATATTTTTTAATGTTTAGATGATCCTGAAAAGTTTAATTGTAAAGACAGCACCCACCTGAGGCAGGGTGCAGTAGAGGCAGCACCCACCTGAGGCAGGGTGCAGTAGAGGCAGCACCCACCTGAGGCAGGGTGCAGTAGAGACAGTACCCACCTGAGGCAGGGTGCAGTAGAGGCAGTACCCACCTGAGGCAGGGTGCAGTAGAGGCAGCACCCACCTGAGGCAGGGTGCAGTGGGTGCACAGTTTCGGGTCCCACACGAAGTCCTGAATTTTATTAACACTTCTCTCGCCTGACACGCCAGCGACGCCACGCATCGAAATGTCCTTCATCTTCGTGATCATCCCCGACGAACCGGTGTCGCCCTCCACGATCTCCAGGAACCGGTCCCTGAACCGGTACGATACCAGTGATACGTTCAACTATCTACAAGAACCGGTCCCTGAACCAGTACGATACCAGTGACACGTTCCACTATCTCCAGGAACCGGTCCCTGAACCATTACAATACCAGTGATACGTTCAACTATCTACAAGAACCGGTCCCTGAACCGGTACGATACCAATGATATCGGTACGTTCAACTATCAACATTGCCACGTGTACTTAGGCCACTACGCGTACTTAGGCCACTACGTGTACTTAGGCCACGTGTACTTAGGCCACGTGTACTTAGGCCACTACACGTGCGATTGATGACCAGAGAATTAGTTGATTTATATTATCAGGGAATGGAACTTTTCTTCAGATGACGGTAGATCAAAAGGCAAATTTCAGGAAGTAGTCTTTCTTTATTAACGACGTTTCGAATGCAACTAACATTCATTTTAAAGTTAGAAGAGGCATTAAATATTGACATTTTGGTGGAAATAAGTACATAATATAAGTAAATAGGATACACAGTAAAATTTTGGACCAAAAATTATTCGGAAAAATCAGAGTCAGACAAATCTGGTAGTCATAAAATAGATAGCTGGAGTCCAATCCGTTGAGATGACGGGTTCAGCTATCGTCGGTCGGTTGTTGTCGGGCCACTGCTTTATCACGATGCTGGTGAGTGCCTTCAGCACAAAGCGAGTGACGGTCTGGTTGTGAGCTTGTCTCGCGTGCTTCACCTGCCCTCCAGTTTGAAGGTAGCTAATGAAACAGCGGCTCGGTGTCTTGATTGTTTGTCCAATTTGTCCGATGTTGTTCAAAACATGAAGAAGTCTACAACCTTCTTTGAAGCAAAATTTATAGACTACACCGGCCTCTCGGATAACTCCCGCATTTTTGCAGGGGCCTTTGTCGTTCTTGGTTTGGAATTTGACGTTGTTGTCAAGAGTGTCACGAAGCCTGTTAAATTCATCGACGATTTTGAGATGAACTTGCTTGTTGATAATGCTCTGAGACCTGCTATGGTTGTGCGCTTGTCTCTGGTGCTAGGAGAAGCGGCAGTTCCATGTCGCAGTTGTTACTCCAATAAACCTAATGTAATCCATAACGTGAAGAAGTCTACAACCTTCTTTGAAGTAAATTTTATAGAATACACCGGCCTCTTGGAGAACTCTCGCTTTTTTGCAGGAGCCGTAGTTCGGTATAGTCCGGGGTTTGATTTTGTTGCCAAGGGTGTCACGGAACCGGTCGAATGCAGTAACAATGTCGTAGTTGCAGTAACAACTACGACATTGGACAGCCGCTTCTCCTACCACCAGAGACAAGCTCACAAGCAGACCAGGTCTCAAAGTATTCCAATCGAGCAGCATCATCTCAAGATCGTCGATGAATTTAACAGGCTTCGTGACACCCTTGACAACAACGTCAAATTCCAAACCAAGAACGACAAAGGCCCCTGCAAAAATGCGGGAGTTATCCGAGAGGCCGGTGTAGTCTATAAATTTTGCTTCAAAGAAGGTTGTAGACTTCTCCATGTTTTGAACAACATCGGACAAATTGGACAAACAATCAAGACACCGAGCCGCTGTTTCATTAGCTACCTTCAAACTGGAGGGCAGGTGAAGCACGCGAGACAAGCTCACAACCAGACCGTCACTCGCTTTGTGCTGAAGGCACTCACCAGCATCGTGATAAAGCAGTGGCCCGACAACAACCGACCGACGATAGCTGAACCCGTCATCTCAACGGATTGGACTCCAGCTATCTATTTTATGACTACCAGATTTGTCTGACTCTGATTTTTCCGAATAATTTTTGGTCCAAAATTTTACTGTGTATCCTATTTACTTATATTATGTACTTATTTCCACCAAAATGTCAATATTTAATGCCTCTTCTAACTTTAAAATGAATGTTAGTTGCATTCGAAACGTCGTTAATAAAGAAAGACTACTTCCTGAAATTTGCCTTTTGATCTACCGTCATCTGAAGAAAAGTTCCATTCCCTGATAATATAAATCAACTAATTCTCTGGTCATCAATCGCACGTGTATTAACAACTAAATTCTGCCATCTAATACTAATTTAGGCCACTACGTGTACTTAGGCCACTACGTGTACTTAGGCCACTACGTGTACTTAGGCCACTACGTGTACTTAGGCCACGTGTACTTAGGCCACTACGTGTACTTAGGCCACGTGTACTTAGGCCACTACGTGTACCTAGGCTACATGTACTTATGCCGCCATGTGTACTCAGGCCGCTACATGCATGTACCTAATTGGGCCGCCACATGTGCTTAGGCCGCCACATGTGCTTAGGCCGCTACATGTGCTTAGGCCGCTACATGTACTTAGGTCCCTACTTATGCCTATTAATTGCCTACTCACCGCCACCCGTCGATGAGGTCATGGGGTACGAGGTCCTTGACGAGCAAGAAGCCGTTGTGCTCGTAGAACGAGCGCTGCTCGTCGCTCAGTCGAGGGTTGTCGAGCGTGTAGAAGTACTGCGCATGTGTACAATTGTACTAATAACTACAGTATTTCATAATATAAAATTATATTATGTTATTTATTTTCAAATAATAAAATAGCCGGTTTTGTGCGGTGTACATGCTCGATATTGACATATAAATTATATTAATATTATTGATGCGAAATGAGCAGCGACTCAAACTGTTGAAAAATAATAATTCATATAATAATACAATATAAAAATATTGACTCTTTATTATTATACATTTATGCAGTGAAAGTGTCGGCACTTCCTATGCATTGCTTTGAATGCTACACAATAAACGGAAACTCAAAAATATTAGTCAGGAAAATGTAAAATGCATTTGCAAAAAATGACGAAAAACAGTCATTGGTAAGCAAGAATAGTAACAACATTCACTAACTTAAATGATAATTCAATCATATTTGTGACTTGACACCCTTGATAATAAAATAATTTAATAAATAAAAATAAAATAAAAATAATAAAATCTCCTTGATAATACAAATAATAACCTTAGTTTTGGTGGTGTTTAGCTTAATTAATAATTTAATCCTATTTATGACTTAACACCTACCCTTAATAGTAAAATAATTTATTAAATATAAATAAAGTAAAAATAATAACCTTAGTTTTGGTGGTGTTGGCACCATCACGCAGTTCAGGTCTGGCCGTGAGGTGACTGAATATGACGCGTATACGATCAGCCATGATGCATACGACCAGCTAGGCGTTATATCTCTAGTTGCACTAACATGAAATAATATGGCTAGTCTTTACAACACTAGCGACTTCAATTAGCAAGTTAATACTTATGAACGCGATTGCCCTGTGAAAAGACAATATCTTAAGATAATCAGCCTATTTTTCCGTCACAACACATCAAAGCATATTTCGTATCCTTTAGATACTATCAATGATTAAATACAGAGATAAGGATTAACAACAACGCTAACTATGAACTTAATTAACCTACCTGAGCTCCTGGCACGCACAACCTACCTATATAGGTACCTTAAATAACTATAGCAGCACGACTAATCCTAATACATGTCGTGCCGAAATCACGGAATTGCCGATTCTATGGTATCGGCAGCCAGTTTGCCGAATCTGTAGAATTAGCATTTCTATACCATAGGAATGTGGCCTTAGGTCAGTCAGCCAACTTTTTTTTTAATATATAATATAAAGGAACTTGACCAAACTTGACCTAACTTTTTCTAACTCTAACTGTCTATTTATATTCTAACTTTAACTCTAACGTCCAATTTTCTGAATCAGCAACGAAATGTCGATTCTAAATGATTCGACAAATTGGCTGCTGATTCCATAGAATCAGCAATTTCGCGACTTCGACACGACATATATACCGTTCACCCTCATTGCATAACACGCTGCTTCTAATGAACGTTTGTGATTTTACACATGGGTTCTTTTTATATATAGATATTTGAAAAATATAGCTTTAGATCTCTTGATTATACCTTACAAATTCCTTATGCATCACAACAGCAGTGCAGTCCCATGCAGTGCGCCGTAACCACAGCCTGCACAGCACAACAGCTGTAATACACTCCTAGTGCGCCGTAACCACAGCCTGCACAGCACAGCAGCTGTAATACACTCCTAGTGCGCCGTAACCACAGCCTGCACAGCACAGCAGCTGTAATACACTCCTAGTGCGCCGTAACCACAGCCTGCACAGCACAACAGCTTGACAATCACCAACTGAGCTGCAGTTGACGCAGCAATGATGAAGCTGATAAGACTGATTAAGATATATCACGCCACTGATCAAGATTTTAACGAACGTGACTGAAGAAGGACACATTTTATCACTTTATTTTATCCGAGTGTTGTGAATATTTCCATCAAGAAATAATTATGGTATTGGCCTTTGGTTAAGAAGAAGTTGAAACTACCGTTAAGTGTCCATGAGGTTGTCGACGAGTCACACAGGCATATCAGAAGAAAAGATTGTGTCAATATTACACTAAAAATACCAAGGTTGATGAGATATCTAAAACTATCAATAGTTAGGAGAGATTTCGGAGCTGCATTATATCACACTATCTTTAATCATAAAGTACCTTGCTCGAGCTAAAATTTGCACTGAATATTCCTTATTTCATCAAGTGGTCCAAAGTCTACTATCACACACATTTTCTTATTATTTGTTTCGGACGCAGCAGTCCCAGGCCACAATGGATCGCCACCTCTGATTATATAATTATCGTTCATCCGCCCTCATTTGGGCCACCTGATGCACGATGCTGTTGCTTGCTTCTCGCCGCTGGTAGTGTTGCAGGGGAGGTCGATCTGGGATTGTGCCCAGGAACACGTCCAGTTGTCTCTTGAAGGTCTCCAGGGTGAACTCCCCCTCTCTTAGATCCTTTGGTAGGGCGTTGAACAGCCTTGGCCCTGTCACGGAAAGTGCAGGAATTGATATCTGACTGCAGATCAGTTACGTAGTGGGGTGATCCTGCACAGTCTCTCCCTTCTCTCGTTGTGATATGTCTCAATCCTGAAGGTCTCGCTTTCGAAGTTTGGTGCCATTCCGGTTATCATTTTCTATGTGTACAGAATGACCTATCTCTCTTGTCTCCTCTGCAGTGAGTACAGACCCAGGTGCTTCAACCTCTCCCAGTAATTCAACTCTTCCATCCCTCTGATCCTGGAAGTGAAGGTTCGTTGCTCCGTTGCTCCCCTTTCAGTTACCGCACTTCGCCGAGTGCGAAACGGGTCCAGAGCTGACAGTAGTATTCAAGGATAGTTATTACAAGGGCCCTAAAGAGTGTGATCATCGATTCTGCTTCTCTTGTTCTGAACGTCCGCCAGATCCACTCCATCTGTCGCCTACCTCTTGCGATTATTGCCGCTATGTGATCAGTTAACTTGACCTGAGTAGGTATTCATCAACACTCCTAGATCACGAACAAGTTGTTTCTCTTCGATTTCCGAATTGTCAGGTGTCAGGTAGCGGTGATCCATTCCAGCTCTTCCGGTACCTCTGTATCTCAGAACCTCAAGCTTGGTCCCGTTGAACTGCATGTTGTTCACTTGGGCCCAGTCATATATTGCAGAGAGGTCTTCTTGCAACCTCTCACTGTCGTCCTGTCCGTTATGGTCATTAGTATCCTGGTGTCGTTCGCGAATTACGATGCAGTGGCGCGGTTCACAGCCACATCTATGTCGGCGATGTGAATGAGAAAGAGGATTGAGCCTAGTACCGTTCCCTGTGGTACTCCACTCTTCACCTTAGCCTCGCTCGATCTCGAGCCTCCTACAATGACAGCTTGTAGTCTTTCTATTAGGAAGCTGTGGATCTATACCAGCAATTCACCTTCGACCCCCAGTAGTCTTAATTTTCTGAAGAGCACTCCATGGTCAACTTTGTCAAACGCTTTCGCGAAGTCCAAATACACCACGTCCACCCTGGCCCCCTGCTCCAGCATGGCCAGGATTTGATGGTGCTGCTCCAGTAACTGAGACAAATAGGAACTATTTTGTCTAAAACCTTGTTGCCTTCAGTTGAAAAGGTCAGCCTCCTCCATGTACTGCACCAACCTTCTGGTAACAACCTTCTCAAATACTTTGATTACACACGTGTGTGTTAATGCAACCGGCCTGTAATAGTCGGGTGTATCTCAGCACACCTCCATTGTAGATTGGGGTTATTAGCCCTAATTTTAGGTAACAAGGAACATTTTCTTCTCCAACTGATGTTTTCCATAGTACGTTTTTCTCAAATTATTCGTTTGATCATATAATTTTACAGCCTTTTGAAGTTGTGAGTTTACTCACAATCATTCAACCAACAGAATAAATGTAAATGGTTGTTGAAGAAAAATATAAGAGCATTCAAGAGGACGTATCCAACCATGAGAATGATGAGATGAAAAAAAAAATCATTTTGCTACAATAGAAAGACATCTTCTTCTGCAACAGCAGCAAAGTATCAAACAAAAATTGGTTGAAGTTAATAGCAAAGTTGAATGTTTTTGCAAAAAATTGATTGGCTTTGATGAGCTCTTTTATGAAAAGTCTCTTGGATAAACTGAATAGGTATTTGCGGACAACATCATCATTTCACTTATAGAATAAGACAAAAAATCCAAGCACATCATGAATTGGAAGAATCTCAATTGATACAAAAATCTTAAATTAAAAGAAGCTGCATACAATATTGTTTTTCAACATATAATTATAGTGCAATACCACCAACAAATCTTTTGATAACATCACAGTGCAGCTAAGTATTATTAATAGTATGACAATTTTGTATCCAAGTTGTGGCAGCAGCTGCACAAGCCCACAAAGATAACAAAGTTCAAAGATCTTGAGGAGATAAGATGATAACAAGGTCACTGATAGGTTAGCTCTCAGAAAGAAAACACCAAATGGCTGCAACTTTGCATAGATAACACTCAATTTAAAATCAATGCATTATCCTAATAGCAACAGATGTACTTTGGAGCAGGATTGAAATTTTCAGACTTATTACAGAAATTCTGGTCTCAATTGTGCACTTTTATAACAGTTAACAGTTAGATATGAGTTGTTTGTTTCTTTAGTGGCCAAATGTTTACTAGCGCTTCAGCTATTTAGCTATCTTGCACCGAAAGTCAAGATGAACATCACCATAGAGGTGGAAGGTCTCAATTATTCTTCACCCACAAGAGTCGGAAGGTCTCAGATGTCCAGCCCGCTGAAGCTGGCTCGAAAGAAGCAGCGTTAGCATCTCAAAGAGACAAAGTAACAAGGAGGGACAGGTGAAAAGCAACAGAAACAAAGACACTCGAACAAGAGGTCGCTTACACGGGACGTTGGCTGCCCGCACGAGAGAGACAGAGAAGGGAAATGTAAGGAATCCTACCTACATAATAACTTAACCCCACAACTGAGACCTACAGTCAGGCACCACGAGCCCATAGGTGGGGCGCTCAGGAACCATCCCCTTAGTTAGATAGGAGGTAATTCATCTCTCAGGAATATTGCTGCACTGAAAATGGCAGGAAAGCTCTAGTTGAGGCTATTCCATGACAGTGATGGGAAAGCTCTAGTCACAGACTCACAGCCAAAGCAAAAAATTAAACAGAATACACCGCATAATCAAACAAATAGAATGGCACAAGAATCCTGCTAATTTCAACCATTTTCATAGCCTTTTCTCAATATCTTCAGTAAAAAATATAGAAATGGCTTATTTGTACCAGTAGGTACTTTTTGGAAATTGCCTCTGAAAAGGTGAAACAATAATTTTTTCAGAATTTGAAGAAACTTCAGCCAGATTTTCCAAATTCCAGTCACATCCTCAAAGGTAAGAATATCCCATGCATGCAGTGCAGCCTGCAGCATGCTTAATCCAAACCTACAGGTATTTAGAAAAACAAATCAATATACACCCAATCGGCCAATACCAATCGAATATGAATAGAGCACTTAAAGCATAATTGATTATTTTAAGTTTGTCTTAAACTCATAATGTTTCTATAGTTTTAGGAACAAGCCACTACAGTGAGTACAGTCCATAGGTTGCTCATCATTGTTAACCTACGGGTAGGCTAAATGGAAAATTTGACAATGGGCAGAAGGCCAGAAGCCATTCAGGATTCAAACCTTCCATGAATTAGACAAAAGTGCATGTGAATCTGGCCAATTTTACACATTTCTATGGTTTTATCCCATTTTCTTCAGTAGAAAATAAAATACAAAACTTTTTTCCCAGAAGTTTAAAAAAATGATAGTGAAACACTCAGATCCTTCTAAGCCATCATTTTAATTTTTAGAAAACTTTTGCCAATATTGCAAATTGGATTGTTAACACAGACATGGCAGTCATGAATTAGGTATACTTGACTTTAACATTCATATGCTTCTATGAGTTCTATGGCCAAAAAAACATACAAGTTACCAATTACCATACATCTACATGATGATCATGATGACTCATCAATATGCAATAGGCCTAATTATAATGCAATGCTGTTTGAAATAGAAAATTGTGACTAACACTTCAGATAAATTATAATAATAATTAATAATAATAGCGGTTAGCCGGTTACAGCATTTAGGTATTAGGCCATAGGCCCCGCCTGTCGCCAATTTGCAGCATTTGCGCCTTGCATTTGTATCAGAGTGATCAGACGCAACATTTGCAGAATTGCAGCATTTTGCGCCTTGCGGGCCTGAACTTGCAACTCACTGCTCCAATTTTGCTGTATTCAACTGCCCAGTCTCCTTGCCAATTCTGACCAGAAACTGGTGCACAGAGCTGGGAAGTGCCGAAGTGGGAACTGGGGTCTGGGAAGTAGGATCGAACTTGCTTACCTGCGCCTCTCTGCTCTAATTATCAATCATGGTACTCTGAATTTTAACCAACTTGAGAAAGTAGCACCAAACAATGTTCTCCTCTGCGGTAGGGGCCAGGACAGCCCCCGCCGCACGGGGAGCGGAGCGGCCAACGGGGAAGCCATAATAGGCCTACTTGGGTGTCAACCGTGTCATCACCGTGTCAAGACCGACGACCGTGACCGTCAGCGTCAAGCAGACTAAGCAGTCAATGTCAAGGGACCCAGGTCCCAGTAAAAAGGCTGTGCTCTCGAGAAAATGCTCAGTCAAAGCGACGCATTAGCGGCAGTACCAGGAGTTCCATCATAAGACGCTAAAATCTAGTATGGAAGCGCAGCTGAGCACCACTTTCAGTCCAGTGACCACTGATCACTGTCCGAACTCCGAACTCCCACAAGTGACAGAAAACGAACCCAACTGCCGAACAAATGGTCCATCATTTGTGGCGGAGAATCTGGTGATTCCGTAATTTTGAGAGCTGAAAATGCAATAGAATAGCTTAGAGCCGCTATGTATTCCTGGCGCAATGAGGACCAAAATGTTTAATATTGTGTTTACCTAATTAACTTGACCTATAGCGTAGATCTACCCTATGTCTGCTCCTAAATTTTCAACGATCGTATCTCCTGAAACCAGATGTCAGGGTCTTCACCGCTTAACGAATTTTTGCTGCAGGTTTCCCACGCATACAGCTGTCTTCAACAGATACTAAGCACTTCGAAGTAGCTCTACAATGTTTAGTGTCGCACTACTGATTCGTATGCAGAAAGACTTTGAAGTGCTACTTCGCTTTTAGTCTTTAGAGTACTTTATAGTGCCGCACTACGCTATGAGTCTATTGAAGAATGGTAGTTAAGTGCTCAAATAATTAATTATTCCCTAAGTAATTCTCATTATTTGCAGAAGATTGATTTAAAATGTCTAATTGTGATGGTAATGGCACTAGTGAAAATTGTGATGGTGAGCTGAAATTCGCTATGCGTCTGCACATCTTTCTCCCATCATATATTCAAAGTCCATTCTTCCCAAAGACGTCGAACAAAAGAGAGAAGCATGGAAAGTTTTTGCAGAAGAATTTAAAATTACTCCAGAATAAAAACAAGAAATAAAATTCAAAACATGGTATCAAAAACAAGAAAAGTATTTTCTACTTCCGCTATAGGTAACAAACCAATTAAACCGAAGGAATGGGAAAAGGAAATTAAGAACCAATTAGATTCAGGCGAAACTAATCCTGTGTTTCATGGGATTCTGTTAGCCATAAGAATAACATGTTGTTCACTGAAGCGGTCCACTTTTTATATTCATGGCAAGTAGTTCCTGAGGTTTCTACGCGATGATGCCTTTGCTGTAAGCCAAACAGATCCATAGCTGACGAAGTAAACAAGGTGAAATATACCGTAGTGTCGTCGTGAAGTGCGGTGTGTAGGACACTTCAGATTTTTGTAGTGTGCGTTATGCTTTTGGCCCTATTTAGCATACCAAATAACCGTAGTGTTCCATGCCGCACTATAGCTTGTAGTGCGTAGTGCTACTTCGTAGTGCTAGTGCCCTTTTAAGCATACGGGCCATTGTCGGTTTAGCCTTACGACGTACATTTATTACTTTATTTATTTATTACTTACTCATTCATTTATTTGCTGTAAGGCTCTGAACAGAGGCTTATAAACTCAGCCAATGTTCGAGGCATCATGAGCAAGCATTATTTTTCAAGAAAAAAAGCGCCTGCAAGTTCGCCAAAAATGGACGAGGAAGTCGTAGCTTAGCCCCCATCAATTTCTCGACGTTGAATTAGACGTTGATTCAATGACCTTAACTCGCATTCAAAAATGTTTAGATGAATTAACTCGCTTTCAACGTTGTTCAACGTCATTTCCCAGAAGGGGCTAACCACCAAAAGATCCTCAGGCACAGCTTGCCAAATATGAAGGAGTTATCCGGGCATACGGTTTACACTTTAATTTTTGACGGTCATCTTGAGAATAGAAGAATTTACCAGAAGATTTGAACTTTTAAATATCGGTCCTGACGTCTAGGCAACCCCAACTGAAGGAGAGTAAGAAAAAATTGGTGTGAGTAATATTAATGACTTGGGTTGAGTAAACGTATAGAATAGAATAGAACGGAATAGAAGAAAATAGAATGGAATAGAATGAAATAGAATAGAATAGAATAAAATAAATTAGAATAAAATAGAATAGAAGTGTCGGCACTGGAGAAATAGGCCCATGGCCTGTTGCCTCGTCTTCATCACCAAACCTGGTCTTCCAATTCACCGGGATCATCACCTTCGAGCAGCTCATGGTGAGCTTAATTAACAAAATAAATTCATATTATTATTTGCTGTTGTGTTTATTTTGACCCGACCAATTTCATTTTGCCGCACCTAAAGTTTCCATCTGATTTTAGTGAATATTACAAGTTGCCTTGGCCCAATTTCCACTGATATAGGAGTCAAACAATTATTGAAAGTGGTCGGGCACGTAGCCCCCACAATACTACCAGGGAGGCTGTTCCACATGTCGGTGGTTCGAAGCGAGAAGAAATGTTGTCGCATGGATGAGTTACTAAGCAGTTTTTTGGTTTATAGCCGTGTCCCCTGGTGCTGGTACTTGTTTCAAATTCTAGTAATCCTTCAGCTGGTACCTTGTGTAAACCGTGAGTATACTTGTATACTTCTCAAGTGAGAGAACGCGACGTGGCACTGGTTATTCTATGGGTGCCATTAATAAAGTGAGAGTCCCAGAATTCAATTAACCGATTCCAAGAGCAAAAACGAAAGATCATGTTGGGGCCAGATCATACCCTTTTAATTATATGATTCCTGGAACTTAGATGACAGACCGATTGAAGCTCGATTGAATTCGTCTTACCCCAAAGGCGGAAGGCCCTCTAGCAGTGGCAACGGTTAACAGGTTGCCTACAATATTCGAGAGGGAGCGACTGCCGCGTCGTTCTCTCTTTAACGAAGGTTATAATAATAGTATAAATAGCTGCTTCAGCGTTTATTAGGCCAAAGGCATGTCGCCGATTCTTAACATCGCAGAACATCCACAAGCTTGTTGCGGTTTCGAACTCACAACTCACTGATTCAAACTCTGCTGGCGCCCGGCCTCCTCGCCGATTGAACTACCGACATCATATCCATCACGAAGAGTTAGATGAAGCTACTGACTCGGCTCTAGGTAATTTATCCACGGCTACAATTCGTACCTGGAACTCGAATCACTTACTCACCTTTCTGCACGCACCGTGACGGTTGTAGTTTTTTAGGACGTTGATGGGCTCAGATAAATGGATGCTAATTTTTAAACTATTTCTTGAATTGAGCCTTTGTATAAGGCTGTTATAAATTCAAACATGGCATTTCTTTTTCTTTTTTGTTCAAATAAGTTCCTAAAGTGTAAACGATATAAAGAATGAAGAAGTTCCGGCATCTTATTAGCCGGCAAAATATTAAGACTTAATACACGAATAAATTATTTACATATTTTCAATTATTTAAACAATGTAATGCTAGCACTGAAGACAGTTTGCTTTACAATTACGAAATTTATGTTTTCTTGTCGCACACTCTTTTATAATCGAACAATTAAATGAATGTGTTATAATTGTTTGTACCTATATACATACTTGAAATAAAAAAAATTTAGAACACCTCAACGTACGTTGTGCTTCGTACGAAATACGTTAAACTCGACGATTAAATTCTGCACTTTCCAGTTTCTTATTAGGTTGCATCCTAAAAATTATACTCACTTTCCTAGACAGTGATTTTTACTGTTAAATGTTGCAAATGTTTATGTCTCATTATAACCCTGTCAAAAACTGGATCAATAAATCGCAATTTTGTTTTGAAAAGTGACCTTTTTTCACTAAGTTCCTGGGAAAAAACAGCATTTCTAGTAGCCAATTTGTTTATGTGATTCTCATTTCACTGTACATTTTGCTAGGCCTGGTAATTTTCCGCGTGAATCTTTAAGGAATTTGATGACATGCGACTTTTACTCGTCAACGAGCTATGCTATGTAGTTATTTAAACACTGTCTCGTTTAAATTATTTAATCTAACGCGATTGAACTCGATCAAAAAAGAATAAGTTCATAGAAGTGTTATTATTCTTCACAGACACTGTTAAAAAATTTTTGTATGAAGCTTTTGTTTGGCAATCCTGAAACAACGTTTTTATACCATCATACATGTATATGACTAACTTATAGGTAAACAAATCAGTGAAATACCGTGAATCAAAAAATCGTTCGATCAAATAGACACTGAATTGTATTTATAAATTGTAATTCTGTTCTAACTACGCAACACTACAGTGCCACACTGTATACTGTACACTGCACAACTTAGCCAGCTAGCCACACAGCTCAACAAAACCTTCGTTTTGTCCCGATGTTACATATCAATTATTACAGCGTGTTTAATTAGTCCACCAGTTTTTATTATATATCAATTATTACACACACAGCTTAATTCAAAATTAAACGAAGTGAACATCTCAATAAACTCGACGCCGCTGAAGAATGGAAAAATTCTGCAGAAACCGGACTCTTGAATTACATAACTTAAATTAATATTTCAAAGTTTAAAAAGATTTTTAAAGTTATTAATTCCAATTCAAATATTTTAATTTCTCTTTAAATATAGTGCGCTCAATTAAGCCTATACAATTGGTACCTCGATTGGATCATAATCGTCCAGTGATTTGGTGCCCAATTAGTAAACACCAATGACCATCTATCAGTTAACAGAGTATGGATTGAGTGCCAAAATATACACTTTCTGAAAGAAATCGATATAATACTTCTGAGTTAGGACAGTTGTATTTTAAGTATGAGTAGCGTTAACATTAACAAAACGCTGGAGATGAAAGAATACCTAAAGGGACTTTTTTCAATTATAGTACTCGTATACTCTTACAGAGGACTGAGTATATGCAAGGAAGAACTACCTTGTTGTTTTTCTTCTCTGATCGGATTTCGGAGACATTAAGTGTGGTCGATAAAGTACGAATTGAATTAAATAAATAAAGTTAGTTTCATTTAAAATTATTCTTCTAGTTTATATGATGTGTAGCTCCATGCATGTTTCCGTAGGCGCGTGCTCGCGATTATTGCATCCTTCACACCATCCATACCTGAAGCTGTAGATTAAGTCGAGTTAGAAATATATTTTGTGATTTATATTGTGCAAATAAGTCGCATTAACAAAAGTTTCGATTAAAGAAAAAAACAAACAAACAGAAAAATTCTGCACCTTCAACTTTTCTTTAACACAATTGTTTTCGTTTCTCATTAGTAAAAGAAACTCTTAAATTTTTCGTGAAAATAACAGAAAGTTGATTGGATCGAAAAAATGAGGCTCACATTATTATAGTTTCATTGAATAACCTATTACCTCCTCTGAGTCCTACATGCAATAATTTAAAGTAAAGGTTCATCTACATTCAACAACAAGAAAAATTACTCAAAAAAAATTCAAAATAAATAGCATTAAATTTGGAAAGTGTCAAAAGAAAATCGAAATAGCAGACAACAGTGACATCAGTATATACTAGGTACACTAGAGAACGTATACGTATGGACAATGAAGATTGACATCAATAAAAACAATGGTTTACTGTTAACATCATTGTTAGTAATCGTGGTAATGAGGCCGTTATTTAATATGCAAAACTCACGACAGAAGTTATAGCTTCTATGTTTCAATGAATTCATAACTGATACTCTTTAATTGTTGTCCTATTTATAACTCTTATGAAATACGGTCAGAAAAATAAATTAAAATTTTATTTAGCGAACCTACGTTTGACCAATACTTAGACTACTTGGACACTCACCTCATCTTCTCTACTTGGGTATTGAAGGCCCGGGTCGTAACGACTCCTTCTTCCTTTAACGACCTCGTAACTTTCTCCAGGAAACCTGAGCTACACGTGCATCGTTCCAGGATGATGCGACTAAATCTGGTATTTATATGGGAGGCGAAACTTGTGAACATTAGCGCAAAACTGTAGGTAATTATAACTATTTCAGAAATGACTTGAATTTCCTCTGATTCAGAACACTGAGCTTCTTTCGTCGAGATTGCGAAAGATTATGACATTAGACTACAAATAAATGCTTTAATTTCAATTGAATACTAAAATGCTTGAATTTTGAATAGAATTTATATCGAATCATGACAGTGCGACTCAGCGACCGCTTCCATAAAAATTCTTTCTCGTTCAGAAGGTTTGCATAAAAATTAATTTCATCAATGGTTGAACCAAGTTTATATTGAGAAAAATATAGAATTAATTTTTATTGTATTATTCTGTTTGAAACTATCTCTCGTAGGGTACTCCATGAGACTGCACATGGCATTTAACAGATTTTTAATAGGTCTTCAGGGAGGGAAAATTTGTATAAATAACTATTGTGATGAGACATTACAGCAAAGACTTGGGATGCTCCAGCATGTGATTCGCGACTCTGTTAGATCATTTACCATTGTTTAGCAAGCACATTTAGCTTACCATTGATTTTAATGGAGAATATGTAAGCAAATGTTATAATAGCAGGAGTAATTCTCAATTCATTTTCCGAATCATTTTACTTGATTAACTAAAACTATATAAATTAAATTGTGCTCACATCAACATCTACGTCGGAATCTGCGCAGAATACGTACTTCTTATTCTCTGGAGCGACAAACATTAAGAGATTGAATAAGTCCTTGGCTTTGCCAGTGGCAGCAACATGTACTGTAGGCGCCTCCACTGGCATAGGTCGGCTAACAACACCGTCTGGAAAGTCTTTGTACGGGAATCTGATTTCTGCATGAGAAAAAATATTTGAATGTCATATATAAAATTTCGAGTAAACATTTTTAATCGAAAAAAAGTCCTCGATTCCTGTAACAAATACAAATTCAATATATTATCTTCGCGATCACGAGAAGTCGAAAATTTTAAAATAATGAAACGGGACTAAAATGAATACCACGGGACTCATGTAGCTGTGGCAAGGTTGGGGAAATCCACAGAGTATGGATTAGATTAGTACCTACATAGTTAATTATATATAATTAAAAATTTATATATTGTTAACAAATTCCTAGAACTACTTTAGGTGACGTTGAAGGCAAACAAAGATTTACTTGAGTATTTGAGCATCGGCAGCAGGTGTAATCCGTTGTGATACGGATCAGGGACGCTTATGCTCACGTATGGCGGCTCGTCGCAAAGATTCAATAGCGTCGACAACGCCCGCATGCCTTCGTCCGTCGCCAAGCACCCACAAAAATATCCTAGTGTGAACCTGGATGAACAGGCATACCATAACATATTTCTACTTTAACTCAATAGATATGTTTTCTTACGGAACGCAACGTCATTCAAGTAATTTTTCAATAATTACTTGAACATAGCATGTTTTGATAAAGTTCAATTCGAGTTTTTGAGTGTGCAATCGTAACTTTTCAACATAGTAAATTATGTTACCACGGATTCAGAGAAAGCAGAATCTCAAATAATGATTTTGGCGTTTAATTCTGCGGCATCACATTTTTTCCTGAATTTTTAATGATATTTAAATTGTACATTTTAAAAAAATCGCATGTTGCTCTCATGTATGATTTTCAAATATGAACATAATTCCTACTTAGGCGCTGATGAATCATATATTGTGTGTTCTCAACTCACAGTGTCATTAGTGATAATATTCATCTAGTTCCATGTGGCTCATACAGATTGACAGAATAAATAATTTGCTTGACGAGGTAGTCACCGAAACAAAGGAAAGAAAGGTAATTATTTAGGCAATTACCCATTAAATTAAATAAAACAGGATTTGTTCGTGGAATCACTGGAAAGTTCATGCATGAATCTTAAACCAAACTGCTGGGATTTTCACCTCGAATGTGAAATTTCTTTGACGCGAGAGTCCAGTGGCTGGAATCTCCAGTAGCTGAACATCATAATGAGTTTAAGTTGTCCCAAGAAATTATTTGTAACAAGATGAAGAAGATCTGTAAGTGGAGGCGGCAGTTGCTCATCGTTGTGGCGGATTGCCAACATTTTAGGATGGTAATAATCCATGATGGCCCGCATTGCTTGATATTCGCGTTTGCAGGAGATCGTGTTTGGTTCGAACTTCTTCACTAAAGAAACTCCCATTTTAATGAGGATCTCATTTTTCGGTTTAGTGAGAACGACTTCCGAAAAAAATGACATGTCGTCGCCTGCAAAAAAATAAGAATTTTACCAATGGGACAACTGAACAGGATGAAACAGCATTAACCAGTAAAAGAGAAAGATTTCTTTATTTTAATCGATCGATCATTCCTGCTCATAAAAATAAACAAGAGAGGGTGCAATTTCAAAATTAATAATATTATTAAGCATTGTTAATATTATTAAGCAATTATTATTTATTAAGCAAAGCTCTGTAAGACCTTTTTGTTCAAGAAGGCGCTCAAGCTCTTCGCTTCTGGCCGCCAGAGTGTCGCAGTTAGAAGGCTGAGCGAGATGTGATAGAACGAAGAGCAGAACATTGTTGTACCTAGAATCGAAAATTTTACGTTATTTTCTCATTATATTCAATCCTTATTGGAACGAAAATGGTATCAAAGATAGCCTAAATATCATAGTTATACAAGTATGAAGTACATATAAATAGAACTTTTTGAGTGAACCATTAACATCATATTTTATTTTCCAGATTACCTGTCAATAAGATCTTCACGATTCTTTTTCTCTGTTGGATCAGGAAACGCAAGCAAGTCAACGAGTTTAACATGCACTTCCTTTTTCATGAGCTTCACAAAAGTTCTCGCAGCCATGATTTCTTGGATGCTTTTATGGTAAAACTGGTAGACGACTGGGCACGCTGGGTTTGGAACTGTTTTCGTCAGGAACACAACTGAGGTGACGACACTAACGTCCAACTTGTTAAGAAGTTTCCACTCCCGGAATTTCTTTTCCAGACAGCACTGTACAGGTCGCATGTCCTCAGCTGACAGCATGACTTTATTGGCTGAAATGCAGTCGAACGCAAATTGGTAAATTTCTCCAAGAGCTTCTCGGATAAAGCACTCGAGGTTAACGAGATGACGCTCCAGAAGCTTTTTTGCAATAAACTTTTCGTATAAGATTAGCATCTGCTCGATGACATCATTAGAAGTTTCCCAACTTTCAATGGTCTCAGGCGAATAGGTATACAGAAAGTAGAAGAGTACAAGATTTATTGGATACACAAAAAATTGTTTAACTTCTGGGAGTAAGCGTTTGAAAGACAATGTCATTCCTAGTGAAGAAGGAGCTTCGGCAGATGAGTTCTCTTCGTATCTACGAAGAAATTCAAGTTGATCCTCTTCCTCCGACAACGGAACGAGTTCAAAAGTGGTAAACTGAATTCCAGATGAATTTAGCAAAATTTTCAACTGATCAGCTCTGTGGGGTCGCGTTGTGAGAAGAATCTGACACGAGATCATGCTCTTCATCTGGCGCAAAATTTGATTAATAACATCCGACGACGACTCATTTACTTCATCATATCCATCGATTATGATAATGTTACCGAGGGAGCAAAAACTGTCCAGGGATAGCGAAATTTTGCGAGAAGCTTGTGGAAAATTGTTTTTTAAAGCATTTTCAAGAGACGTTGTGGTTCGGTCTCTACATTCCAGGAACAAGAGTAAATGGATTTCTTTAAGAAACTCAACTTCCACTGGGATTATGCCAAGAAATTGCGACACAATGTTTTTGACAACAGTAGTTTTCCCTGAACCAGCTTCACCAACGAGAACTGTTGCTTTCCTGCCATCTTCATTTGTTCGCTTTAAAATGTGTCTGTAAGAGATCCTCTCCGTTACTCCACCATCCGACAGCAACTCTTCCTTTACGAACAACTCCATTGGATGATAAACTTTTCCAGAATTTACTACGTTGCCGGTGAAAGGAACAGCTTCTGTCGTACAGTATTGACGCCAGTACGACTGACTTTCCTTCAGTGCTTCTGTTCTGAACACAAACTGTTGTTCCATACACTGTCGTTCATGATCAGTGTTGCCAACATTTTTGAATGATTCTTGGATTTTTTCTACATGTTGATCCACTACTTCTTTTCGGATCTTTACTTTTTCCAAATCTATGACCGAAAAAAGCTTGATCATCGTGTCTTTTGCTGTCGTGAAAACATGTTCACTTGTGGATGATGTCTTAATTTTATGACTTATTAGGTTTCTATGATTTCTCAATTTCCACAAAAGACATTCTGCTTTGGTGTCATCGTGGTCACAAGGATTTTCGTGGGGGCAGTCTGCGATGCAAGCAAATACTTTTATCAACTTGATCAGTAAAGTTGCATCAAAAGCCGCTGAGTCGTCTTCTTTCAATAATTTTAATTCTGAAGAAGTGAAATAGTACTTTTCTTTCAATTCTTTTTCTGAAAGTCTGGTTCTGTACTTGAGGTACCAAAAGTAAGATTTAGATTCCCCTTTATCTTCACTCAGCCAACACAGAAGAGGCTGAAGAGACTCAGGAATGAGTTTCTGTATGAGAACAGCGTTGCGGTAACGATGTACTTCCTCGGGAGGTAACAAACTCACAGGAAGTGTCAGAGACGAGCAAGACAAATCATCACGAGGAACGGTTGCAGGCTTTGCAGTTACAGACTTCTCCGATTTTCCAACTGACGCACTATCATCAACACAACTAGAACCCAGTTTTGTCAATTGAACAGTTGAAGCAAGGTGATCCTTGGGTGAAGCTTGAGAATCAATTTGAGAGGAAGGGACTTTTTTAATAGATTGGTTCAGCATATTTTTGGTGATAGCTTGGTCTGGAATATTATCATTTGATGGCAGCTCAGCTGCAAAAGACGAGATGCTACTAAACGACGACTGATTGCGTACTCTTTCTTCTTGGGAAACGTAGGGATGGGTCAAACGCAACCGATTAGCATTATTTGTCGATGAACTTGAACCATCTTTGGAAGGGGGTGAAATTGTGTCATCAACCGAAATTATATCGTTCTGCGAACTAAATATATTCGAAATAGGATCGGACGGAGAAGTTACCTCAGTTTTTTCATTTAAGATTTTAGATATCGACCCTTTTTCACGCGAGTCTTCCGTTAAGTGTTCAGATAAATGACGACAGGAACATTCTGCAGCAGATTGGAAACACGTTGTACATTTAACGCTTGGAAAGTCTTTCGCTCCCACGAGGCAATCTTGTACCCGATCTTCTTCAATATTCAAGTCCTTTATTTTGTTATCAATCGAGACATGGGTAGCAGATTTTATATTTTCAAGGGGTAGTTCTATATTTGGTATTTCATTGTGTGTCTTATTCAAATTATTGGTGTTTTGTTTGATGGTTCCTTCATGGATCACTAGTGTGCGTGACGAGTTCACTTCACTAGGTAAATCTTTTCCAGTTCTGAGCAGTCGCAGTACCTCAGACATGTCACATTGGATTTGTGAAACTCGATCGCACATTTTGTCGAAATTTTGTGAAATCTTATCAACTTTTTCGTCGATGCGCCTTGTATTTTCTCGAAACTCTTGCAGACTTTGTTGGAAATTGCTTTCAAGATCTGTTGGGAGGAAGAATGAATAAAATTATAGATTGATGCTGATGCATACAATTCATCACCATCTAGGGGCTGTAGAGCGAGTCTATCCCGAGCACATCTTGTCAAGAATATGAGAGAAACAGCTGAAAGTAAATTAAACGCATGTACAATTGATCAATTATATACTGAAAGCCCACATAATAAAGTTAGTCAAGTGCATGCATGCAAATTTAAACAAAATTTTCGATTGCCTAACTACGAGGTTTAGTGAAGTTGTTACTTCATTTGAGAATGAAATAATTTCTATCATTATTATGACAGTGTTTCATCACTTGATATAAGAGTACATGAGTTTAATCGAGAACACACCAGATAGTTTTGCCGCCTCTCGAGTATTTACGCAGTTTGTGCAGTCGTCTGTTTGAGAAGAGGAGTTTGAAGTCGACCGCTGCCCATCCGGCGTTTGTTTCTGTAACATCCGCGGGTCTCTTATCGACTTCTCTGGCAGCCTTTCATTTCCGAACCGCGTGTTTTTTCTCATTAATGGCCATGATAAATTCCTGGTCGTACCTCCAACGATTTTATCCTTATTAGACGCTGTCTTCGGAATAGAGGATTCAACGGCAGATTTCGGTTTCTGCGTCCTCCGGTGTGACGAGGAGCTTTGATTCCCCGTCTCTCTGTCCATGTTAGTGGCGAATTTCAACGTGTGAAACTACAACTACCATAATTAACACATCAGTGTTCAGTATTGTCATAATTGAGACAATTAACGGTCAATAGTACCATAATTAACACATTTAACGAGCAACACTACCATAATTTACACACTCAACTCAAATGAACCAACTACAAAACCTATAAAAATAAACCAATAACAATTTTAACTGAAAAAAAAAGTTTATAATTATTCCTACCATATATTTCAAAAATGTTCATTAAAGTGCCGCTACGATTTAGTTATAGTTTCCTACCCTATGCCTAAGGAGGAAGAAAACTGGGAACGAATCGCCGAGACATTGAGCAGACTCTTCGAAATTTCGAATGGTCGGTAGGGTTAAACAGAGAGAAAAATCAAGGTTGATAATTCCATAGAAGCTATCAAGTGCGACTGTAGTCTCACCCACAATGAAAATAATGCAAGCTATTTTTTCAACAACGTTTAATTAAATCTGGCAGTTCATAAGCAAGCGAAATGATTTGAGAAATGCTTACTGCAATGAAGTCCCAATCAGGGGCCATACTTTCAAAACTCGCTAAGTGAACGTAAGTACTTGCGCTCTATTTTCTTGTCTATGATTTGTGGATTTGGCTTGAAAGGCCGTCAATGATTAGCGGATGAACTTACGACCTCTTAACTTTTTTTGAAGTATAGTACCAGGAAGTGCCATACACGAAGTTACGAACTGCATTATGACGCCTAATCATATGTAATGATCTTATGTTTAACTGATGATCGATAATTTGTGGTGTGAAAGTTTGACTTAACTCCTACATTTGATTATTGGTCCTGCATCCATCCCTCAAGCTTTATCACAATTTAAAGACAAAATATTTAAATTTTTGACCAATGTGTGTGTACACGTGACACTTAATTTTAATTTAATTTAGGGTAAATCGTTGACAGGGGTTTGATCAGTAAGCTGTCGAATGTTGTTGCTTTTTGTATTTGCAGTAAGTGAACTGGCATATGTCGACAACTGGTACTATCAATCATGGTTGAACTAAAATATTATCAACTACGTTAACACATGTTACTGCACTCGCACTGCAGCTTCTGATGTTGAGTGGTTACTCTGGTAGTTTGATAATCCAGAAAAAATCGAAACTGAGGAAAAACCAATATCAAGCAATTACCAGTGAGAATATTTTTTTGGTACTTCTTGATATGTATCGCGCTTTCAATGAAGATGAAGCTGCTTTAGTGTATGAGTGGATAATCGTACTTGAATTAGGGTCACACTAAAAAGCTGAAGACGTCGAAATGCGGAACATGTGGCGAACAATGGATCAATCGAATGCGGCGGAGAATCGGGCGATTCCGTAATTTTAGAAGCAGACACTGCAATAGCATATCACCATATAACACTGGTGTCAAAAGAAACACAACCTTTCATATTATTTTGAAACGAAAATCCTGAACCATAGCGTTCGAGGCAGATATATCTGTTCTCTGCTTAATCATGTTCAACGATTAATCACTCAAGTGTTACCCTAATATCCCATCGACGGCTCTAACTCATCATTATGATTAGACAATGTCATTATGTGCAAACATCGTCTTGAAAAAGACGAATTCAATATAATCAACGTTACATATTATTGCTTTACATATTATTAACTTGACATAAATACTCCTTACAACATCTGCGCGGTTTTGTTTTTACTTGGCCAGTCAGACGTTCATATTTAGCCCCATCGAATACTAAATACTTCATATAACTTATAATGTACACAAATGCACCAAAGAAATCAACGAAAGCAAGCTTCAGAGCAACCACGCTAGGATAAAAGTATAGTTAAGAAGTACTAAAGTGTGATTTAGACTTGATCCATAACTAGGTACGTGACTAACCACACCCTAAAACGTCCGGAGGTACACTGCCAGTGCCAGTCTGCCTGAGTGCCCACGGCTGCTGTAGTTGCACACGCACTGTTGGTTGCGGGTTTGCCCAGCTACAGGCTTGCAGCGTTGGTGAGTCAGAAGTGCCAGGGTACTGTTGGTCTGTTATTAAGTTTAGTTTCAAAGTGTTGGCTCGGCCCACTTGTTGTTGCTTAGATTCTATGGTTCTAGGCTATTTGGCTCCGTAGCAACATTTGTGCTTGATTCTCAATTTGTATGTAACTAAGTCGTGTAAAGGGAAAATACAATAATTACTAATTAATTAGTACAATCTAGTAATCATCAAGTACATCAACGCTACAAGTACATCCAATAATTTTTTTACTGAGCGGAGCAACTTGCACCGTTGTTATTATTGGCATTTGTGAATGGTCTATTGTTTTCCGTTTATTAAATACGAGATTTAAAATAAATTATTTTTGGCACGGGACATTTGTAGCGAAAAATTAAATAAATGGAAACGTTGGCAGGATTTCACTCAAAATACTCCGGCTGGAAATTAGAGTTTAATGCTGAAGGCCTACATCGGCCTACACTGCAGCGCCGAGATCACTATGTTATGTTATGTTATAATTGTACGCAATTCACGTAACTCGATTCCTATAGCATAGTTTCGATGCCTGTGAAATTCCTACTAATCATAATGACAAAAACAATTTATTTAATTGTGATGGAAACGTTATCGCTGAATTTGATTTTTTCGATGTGCATGGGTATAATTTCTCATATCCTCAGTACCAAAGTGTAATACCATCATGAATAAATGAAGTTCATGAATGATCGCTGTAGGATTATTTACTTATCACGAGTCAACCTTTTATGAATACAAAGTATTTTTGTGTTACTGTAGAACGACAAACATTTTGAGCCTGTTATACCTAATACGAAATACTGTATGGATAATGGAAGAAAATATCTAGGAATGATGCAACATTTGCGGTCGCTGCTCGTCGAAACTCACGTCAACGCTCTTCACCCAACTTCCTGTCGTTTGTTGACTTCACTGTGAGAGTTAACTCGTGACGAGTCAACCCAGAATTTACCGCTTAACCAAGACACAAACAAGAAGTGATCGTTAGGCGTAATTATTTTATTTTAAAGTTTTTTTAACTTGCGATATGGAAAACTAATCAGTCATTACTTTTTCGGTTTCACTTCATTACAACAGATATACTGTACGTGTTGACCTTAGACAAATCCGACGTTCAACGCCCTACCAAGGGATCTGAGAGAGGGGGAGTTCACCCTGGAGACCTTCAAGAGACAGCTAGACGTGTTCCTGAGCACAATCCCAGATCGACCTCCCCTGCAACACTACCAGCGGCGAGAAGCAAGCAACAGCATCGTGCATCAGGTGGCCCAAATGAGGGTGGATGAACGATAATCAGAGGCGGCGATCCATCGTGGCCTGGGACTGCTATGTTCCAAACAAATACTAAGGATACTAAGTGACTCCCAAAACGAAGGCAGGGAAGGATTTACAGGAGTTTTAGATTTTGTAAGCCAATGAATGTCTTGATATATATGGCGAACTGCATGGAAGCTTGCTAAGCAATGCAAACTCCAAACACTGCTATAATGCAAGGACGAGCAGCAGGAAACCTTACTTCTCGTCCCATTATCGACAAGTAGCGGAAAAAGTATAGCCGTGCCTGTCAAAAGCTGTTTTTATATTGGCTGAAAAAACTATGGGAAATGTTCGGGTGTAAGGAGAAAGGCATTCATTTCGCGAATGGCAAAAATTTGGAATTAATAGCAATTTCAAAAATTGATCAGCCGATATCTCATTCAGCATTTTAAAAATTAAGGTCCCATTTTGATTCTAGATGTAAAATCAACAGCGTTGGTAGGTTAATGCTCACTGAAAAACACTAGGGAGCAGCCTCGTAGGCAAGTTTATGCTAGCAGATTGGGAATTGGTTTCCTTTCAAAGCCGTTGAATGTCGAAGTTATTAACAATTTTCGAGACGAGAAGTAGAAGATAGATTATCATTGGTCAAATATTGCAATCATCGTACAAGTTTGCAGGATGCATGCTTTTCAGCCTTAGACGTCAAGTGCCCAGCATGCACGACCCTGTGGCTTGTACTGCATACACGACTTGCTGACGCGAAGTTTCCTGCATTCAAGACTTATCATTGACACGCCCAGCATTCTTGACTCATTGACGCGTCCAGCATTCATGACTCATTGACGCGTCCAGCATTCATGATTCATTGACACGCCCAGCATTCTTGACTCATTGACGCGCCCAGCATTCTTGACTCATTGACGCGTCCAGCATTCATGACTCATTGACGCGTCCAGCATTCCTGACTCATTGACGCGTCCAGCATTCGTGACTCATTGACGCGTCCAGCATTCATGACTCATTGACTCGTCCAGCATTCATGACTCATTGACTCGTCCAGCATTCACGACTCATTGACTCGTCCAGCATTCATGACTCATTGACTCGTCCAGCATTCACGACTCATTGACTCGTCCAGCATTCACGACTCATTGACTCGTCCAGCATTCATGACTCATTGACGCGTCCAGCATTCATGACTCATTGACTCGTCCAGCATTCATGACTCATTGACTCGTCCATCAAACGCGCAACTCACTGCTCCAGCTAAATTAAATGTTTCTAGTTACAACCGTTTTAAAGAATTAAGCTTTTTGAAAAATTGTACAGTAGTTCATTGCACGAACGTAAATTAAAGTTTACAACTTTAGTAGTTATTATACGACTTCGTTATATCAGATTCAAGTCTTTAAAGAACATTTGTTCGATCAAGTCTGACTTTAGATAACCAAGATCTTTGGCGTAAGCGAAATCGATTAACAGGAAATTATAATCTGTCAATACAGCATTATGCAATCTTGGAAATAATCAATACATTCTCACGGTAGTGTTAGGGTACGCACACAATGAAAGCAGGTTGCCAGCGTGCTGGTTACCTGCTCAGGCTGGCGCCTGAAACCTTAGAATACAGAAGCCTGTTCGTACAGGTTTTCACTGTAAACACTTACATTATTATCCTATGTTCATTCTTGTGGCAGGTTGGAGCAGGTTGCCCACGCGGGCAAACCTGCTTTCACTGTGTGCTTACCCTAAGTCACTGATCACGAGTGCATTACTGCTTAATCTCGCGCAATCTCTATTGTTTTGCTGATACGATCATTTTAATTTGCTGACATGAGCAAAATCATCAACACTGGAAAAGGATTAAATCCGATTAGATTTCTGAAACGCGACGGCGGAAACTTATTTTAATAAA